GTTAGCAGCTGGTAAGGGGCGGAGCCACGATACTATTAATAATGGCAGATTCGTGCTCAGGTTTGCGACAGCCCTGGGAGGGTTAGGTCCCCATTACAACCCCAAGGTACGGATGAGGACACTGAGGCACAGAGAGGTCAGGGAACTCGTTTGAGGCCACAGAGCTGGGACGTGCAGAGCAGGAATTCAAACCCCAGGAGTCCTTTTCTCAGTGAGCCTTCCGACCTGGACGGTCCGCTGGGAGATATGGGGTGGAGGACGCGGGAGACCCCGCGGAGCCATCCTGGCCCCCAGAGCGAGGAGCGCAAGGCGCATGGCGGGAGGCCTCGCCCGGGCCCCACCCCACCCGGCGGGGTCCTCCACTTTCCAGACCTCTCCTCGCTCCCTCACCCCCTGGCCTGCCTTCAGCCCGTGCTGAACCGGGGGCGAGACTCCCCTCCACCCCACACACCAGACCAAAGGAGGCTTATGGCCCTAGAATGTGCGCAGCGACACGGCCCAGGGGCAGCATCTGGCCGGCAGGTCCTGCAGCGGCGCTTCAAGGAGGCAGGTCTGTACTAGGAATAAATGCCGTTTGGGGCGCCGGGAGGCCGGGCGGACGGAGAGGGGAGAGGCTGAAACTCTCCCTCCCCCGCCTGCCCCCACCCCTACCCCCAGGCCGCGGGTCGAGGCGCCGCCGCCCTGGGTGAGAGTCCCGGCACCTGGCTGGTCTCCACCTCTTGTCCGCCTGCGCTCTCTGGTCGGCTCCGGGCTCCCTCGGGATCTCCCCGTCGACGCCGCGTGGTCTGGGGACCCTCGGGGCGCACGGACCCTCCCCCAGCCGGGCCCGCGGCCCCCGGCCTCCCGCCGCCGCGGCCTCCCACGTAGCGCCCTGAACCGGCTCTGCGCAGAGGCGGGAGCGAGCGTGGGGAGCGGGCAGAGCGAGCAGAGGCTCTAAATCTTCCTTCAATCTGTGAGTAGATGAAGTCTGAGAAACAAATTCAAAGCAGGCGCGCCTGCAGAGCCTTCCTGCAGAAATATTCCCCGGCATTCAAGCGCATCCAGGGGCGGCTGAGCAGCCTTGTTTGGCTAAGGTCAGACGAGACTCGAGTTCTCCAATAAAAATAAATCTCAAATTAATTATGGCCTCGAGCGAGGGGCCAGACACTTGAAGCCGAAGTTGTGCAGTCTGGGATTTTGGCGCTCCCTCGCCCGTCCCTCCCCCGCCCCCCCCCCCGCGCCCCTCCCCTCTACCCTCTTCCCCCCCTCCTTGCACTGCCTGCACTGCCCGCGCTGGACCCGGGTTGGGGGGGGGAGCGATGGAAGTATCCGTCTGGGACGCTCCGCCAGGCCGGGCATCTTTCGGGGTTCCCAGTGTCGGAGTCCCGGGGTCGAGGAGGCACCCCGCGGCCTGGGCTCCGAGTGTCGTGCCCTCCCACCCCCAACCTGGGCCGGGACCAAAGCAGCCCAGGAAGTCGCGCCTGGAAAGTCTTGACCGGGTCAAAAGGGCTGACATTGAGCGAGCCAAGACACGTTTCACCCAGCCGCTCCCCTCCCGGGGGGAAGCAGGACTTCCGCGACTTTGAAAATACTGTCAAGTGCGGACGGTGCGAGGCCAGTCGTCCCACCCAAGTCCCAGCGAAGATGCTCAACAGACGAATGTCTCCCAAACAGTCGCTTTCTGTCTGGACGTGGACGTGCTTTCTGTCTGTAGGGGACCCTACAAATGGGTCATCAATTGGGTTCCCTCCCTACCCCCCTTAGTAACTTTTGTTTTAAATGCTGGCCCGGCCCCCCGCGGGCTGCCAGCGCTCCCTGACTTGAGAGCCAGTCCCTGGCTGGTGGAAGCAGCACCGGTGGCCGCAGGCACCGGCTCCCTGGTCCCCAGCCCTGCCCAGTCTGGGAAAGGCGGGCGGACAGTCTCTGGTGAGCCAGGAAAGAGGGTGTGTGCCAGTGTGTGGGCTGGGGTAACCAGTCCCCAGCTAAGCTAGGAGAAGGGAGAAGGAAGAGGGGGAGAGGGGAGAGAGAAAGGGGAGGGAGAGAGAAGGGGAGCGGTTCCACCTCCTCAACTCAAAGACAGTTTTCATTTGCAGCGGGCCTTACCACAGGCTCTCTATCAATTTGTCTCAATGCAAACATTCAAAATATTCTCTTTGGCTGCTCGTGAAAACAATGTGAGCTGCCAGGATCAAACCATCTTTCCAGATGTCTGGTGGTAACCACATGAAACAGGGCAGACTTGTTTACTGTTGTGTTTGGTTAGGGCTTTTTCCCCCTTCGGGATTTAAAATAGAAGCAGCAGCAGGAGTTGAGCATCAAACCCAAAGTTACATAAGTGGGGCAAACTTGCCCACCAGCCGGTCAGGATGGGGTGGAGGGAGTCTTGAATCCCTCTGAGAGCTGTGGTTCCCAGTTGGGGTAGGGGGTGGGTCCTTCTTTCTGGGTGGAGGGCCATGTGAGTGGACAGGAGCTCCTCATGGTGGGGCTGGTAGATAGCAAAAGGCATGGCGCCAGTGCCAGTGAGTCACGAAGGGGTGACAGTCATGCCAATGCCAGCCTCTCCCCCCTCCCCATCTTCAAAGTTACGAAACTGTCATAGCTTTGGTTTCCCAGGGAGAAACAGAGAGTGCTATTGAGTCCCACAGCTAACACAGGACGGCAAGTGCTCATTTTAATGTAGTTTCACATTGAGCAACTCTCAATGGGAGAGGCAGAGCCTGCTAAAAGGAGTTTGGGGGTGCTCGGGGTGTGGGGGTGGCCATACTGACCAGTGCAGTGAAGATAATAATACGCTCTTTGCCAGGCCTCATGGGAGTTGGGAAGAGAAACCTAGCCAACGTTTGTTGCTGCAGAGGTGCCTTCTCAAGCACTAGGAGGAGCGTGCAAGGAAGGGGGAGCAGAGCACTGGTGTGGGGTGGCCATTAACAACCTCAGTGTTTGCCCAGGACCAGGAAGGGGGCCTCCCGGTGGTGAAGTTGGAATCCCTTCTGCCTGAAAGAGGGGCAATGTGGCTGGGGGTGCCGGGTTTCTGGCCAGGTCCGGGTGGGAAGCGGTCTCCCCGCACCCTCCTGAAAGCCCTGTTGTCGTTTGAAGGTCGGCAGAGTCTGGGCTGAAAAGGAAACAATTTGGGGTTTGAAAGGATGTAATTCATTCTTCCTTTCCCTTTAACCTCTTTCCTCTCTGGAAAGCATGTGGAAAAGCTGAAGGGAAGAGTGAGAGGGCAGGCGGCCGGCCGCGGGGAGGAAAGGGTTAAGCCTGATTTCTTTTAATTGAACTCCAGAACTGGTGGCCCCAGGCAAAGGGGGGGACTGACCCCGCTAGCGGTAACCAGATGTGGCGGTCCCAGGGGAGCCCCGGAGCAGACCCCTGGATTGAGAAGCAGACAGGAGGTGGGGGGGTCGGCCCGGCCCCCAGCCCACCCCCCACCCCACCCCCACCCCACTCCCCCATAAGCACACCGAGTCTCAATTGCTGGCAGGCTACACCCGCCACTCCAGGTCTGGTCACGTTCAGACCCGCGTCTGTATTCGAACCCAAAATTGGAGCTGAATTGATGAGACTAATTTCGAGAGGGGGGTGGGGGGCGGGCGGGAGGGAGGCGAGCTAGCTTTCTGGCTCAATTGCTCCAGAAGAAATAAAGAATTAATAAGTCACCTTTTTTCGCTGCTGTGGACACCCTTTTGAATTTTTTTTTTCCTTTCCAATTGATTCGGATCTCTTCTGGATTTTTTTTTTTTCCTCCTTCCCCGGGTGGACTCTTAAATAAAAGTGAAAAAGTCCAAAGCGTGGTCTGGAGAGCGTGGACAAGGTAACCTGTTTTGGAGGTTGGGGAGAAGGGAGTCAGGCCGAGAGCGCCCGGAGGTGTGGTGGTGGTGGTGGGGGGTGTCCCCTCGCTGAGCCCGGACTCCGGAGGCTGCCCCAGCCAGGGCGATCGGCGGCGGCGCTGCAGGGGGACGGCGGGGAGGTCTCCGGGTGGCGGGGGCCGGCCAGGCTGGCCTCCCGGCTGGTTGGGGGTGATGGTCCCGAGCACTGACCCCGGGGGCTCACGGTGGGGGCGCCGTCTGAGTCTGTGCGGCGATCTTGCGTGCTGCGCCCTGGAGACCTGCTGACCAGTGTGGAGGCGACGTGCTGCGGTTTCTTGGGGCGCTGAGTAGCGCTGCCTGGGGGGCTCTGGCCGGGCGCCGGGACCGGGCCGTCTGGTCCAGGTAAAGCGCCTGGGGTCTGCCCCTAGTCAGCGCGGGTAGGTGGCCCAGGGTGCCGCGGGTCCCGGCCCTGGGCGGGCGCGGGGAGCTCTCCAGGAGCGAAGGGCCGGGACGCGCTGCCCCGGGGGCGCCCTGCTGCTAACAATGCGCGGGGAGCCGGGTCCGCGCCCCCGACGGCGCGGTCCTTCCGAAACCGCCCCGAGTCCGCGTCGGCAGCCGAGGGCCCAGGGTGGAAAAACTCCCATTGGACGCTTTTCTTTTTTTTTTCTTTTTTTCTTTTTTAATGGTTGGTTTGCTTCGGTCTGAGTCGAGATCTTCCAGGGCTGTAGGCTCCAGGTTATCCCCAGCCCGAGTAAACTCTCCCCCCCCCCCCCGCCCCAACATCCCCCCCACCCCCAATAAGTTTGCCTCCGGCTGGAAAAAGCATTAATGAACGTATCTGTGGGAAGAAACGGAAAGTGAATGAGTCAGGAGGGCCACCTTCGGCCAACGGCCCCGGGAAAAGGAAGGAGGCCAAAGGCGCTTGGTTTTGGACTTTGGGGGAAGGTGTTGGGGGCGGGTGGGTGCAGACTGCGGGAATCAGGGCGCGGGCGCCGGGCGTGGACGCCGGCATTGTTCCCAGCTCGCCCTTATCTCCCAGGAGCAAGTATCCTGTGTGCGCCGCGCATGAATGTATCTGGGCATCTCCGGGTGTATTTATATAGTGTGTGTGTGATGCGAAAAGCAGGACCAGCAGAGGGGAGGAAGAGGGGGTGTGGGGGGAGGGAAGACGAGGGAGAGCAGAGGGGAGAGGAGAGGAGAGCGCGAGACAGAGAGAGAGAGAGAGAGAGAGAGAGAGAGAGATAGGACTTCCTCCCCGATTCGCAAAGTGAAGTCACTTCCCAAAATTAGCTAAAAAAAAGTTTCATCCGGTTAACTGTCTCTTTTTCGCTCCGCTACAACAACAAACGTGCACAGGGGAGCGAGGGCAGGGCGCTCGCGGGGGGCACGCAGGGAGGGCCCCGGGCGCCAGGGAGGCCGCGCCGGGCTAATCCGAAGGGGCTGCGAGGTCAGGCTGTAACCGGGTCAATGTGTGGAATATTGGGGGGCTCGGCTGCAGACTTGGCCAAATGGACGGGACTATTAAGGTAAGCGATGCGGCGGCGGGAGCGGCGGGGCCGGCCGGGGCGGCGGGCGGGCGGGCTCGGCGCGGGGAGCGGGGCGCGGGGCGCGGGGTCCCGGAAGACGTGGCCCTCACTCTCCCTCCCGCGCCCCGGCTTCGCGCCGGCTCCTCCCGCGCCCCGGGGGCGAGCCTCACGCGCGGGGGCGACCCTCCGGGCGCCCCGCAGACAGCGATCCCCCCACACCCTGCACCCACCCCCCCCTCCAGCCTTCACCCCCTGCACCCCTTGCCCCGAAGCCGCGCCCGCCCCCCCTCTACGCGCAGCGGGCCGGGCTGCGGGCGGGGGTCGCGCTAGCACCGGGGACCTCGGGGGCGGATCCAAGCCGGGGGCCGCAGACCTCCGGGCCGCCGCTCCCGCCGGGCGGGCTGGGCGCCTTGGCCCCGGCGCTGGGCACTGGCCGGGCGGCCGGCTTCCTTCTGCCCGAGGCCGACGGCGAGCCGGGGGCGGGAGCTGCAGCCGCCAGCAGCTCGGGGCCCCGCGGGGAGGGCCCTGGGCGGGCAAGCGGCTGGGTTGCAGGCGGGTCCGGGTGCAAGTGAGCGTGCTTGGGGGGTCCGTCTGCGCGGGCTGCTCCACTTGGAAGTGCCTGTTTACATGTCAGCGCGGGCTGGTTTCCCTTCCTCTTGGTACTGGTGCTGCCGGGCTCTGCGCCTCCCCGGGACTGACGGGCCCGCCCCGGCGCTCCGCCGCGGGCAGGGGACCCCTCCGCGTCCGGCTCTGGGTCCGGCTCTGCGCCGCTGCCTCGCGCCCCGGGCTGGCTCTGCGCCCCCGGGAGCGCTCCGCGGGCTGCCCAGAGGGGGTCCCGCGGCCCCCGCGCCGGCCCTGCAAATCCACCCCCACCCCACCCCCGCATCCTCACCCCACACCTCACGCCCGGCTCTAAGGTGCAAAATGCAGCCCAGAGGGATGGATGAGGGTCTGGGTTTCGCATCAGACTTGAGGGCTGTTGCTTGCCTGGCTCCTCCTGGAAGCGGGAAGTGGGACCAGGAGCAGAGAGGAGGGACACCTCCTAAGGTGACTGACCTCCGAGGACCGAGAGGAATGAATGGGACCGGGAGTCGGCTTCCAGGCTGTCCCGCAACACCAAGCAGGGCTCAGTCTGGAAAAACTATTAGGCTGGTGAGTGGGGACCGGCCCAGCCCGCCATTCCCCAGAACCCAGAGGCATCAACGGCTCGCTCGCTGGCTCGCTCGGGGCTGAGCTCAGAGGAGACTAAGATGTTGTGCTTGGAGAATTTAAGAGATTTTTATCATTCGGGTGGAGTCGTGGTTTTTATTTTCTAAGGTTTTTTTCGGAAAGTCTGAAACATGCTGACTTAGGTAAAAGGCACCAACAGAAGGAACTTGAAAATCTGGAGATGAGATAACTGATTGTACTGGGTTAAGGGGAGCCTGCGTGAGTCTGGGTTCCTCCAGTTTCAAGTGTGCGGGGGTGAGGGGCCAGCGTGCCTCTGGCCAGGGTGGAGGTGGCCACTGGCCGGTCATGCCTGTTTCTCTTGGTGCTGGTGTGTGCCCGCTGGTGGTGTCTTGTGTATCCCTGGTTTGGTAAAAGGATGCTCCGCTCTAGAAACACCCGCCCCCCACCCACACTTAGGATACTTGCCGCTTACCCAGAAGCACTCCCTCTGATCCGGAAGGGTGGTAAGATGGCTCCAGGGTCTCGATGTGGACACCCTAAGGAGAAGTGAAGCAATATCTCCATGATACTCAGACCTCTAAGGCCCTGAGCAAATGGAGGAAGCTGTGGTCTGTGTACCCAGGATGTGCTAACCTCTTTAGAGACACACACAGGGATTGGCATGGCAGGCTTAGACCAGGACCCCCGTGCTTCGTGTGAGGATGGAAGTGAAGGTCTTCCTTTTCATGTGGGTGGGGGGAACCCATGGGTCCCTCCAAACCCTCCTCAGAGCTCCCCTGTCTCTCACCCAGGTGGCCCCGGTAGGCAGACCCACCCACAGAGCAGTGCTTTTCAAATCCTGAGGGACTTCAGTCCCCCCAAATGCTGAAGGATTGAGTTGTTAGTGTGCACTTCGGTATTTAAATTGTGTGAAAGCCACAGTTTCCTGTCGCTGTGTGACCTTTGGATCTGGAGGTTCCTAGACCCTTTTCCTGTGATGGTTCCAACACTGTGTTTGGAGGGGACAGTGGACAAGGGGAGACCAGTGGATGTCTAGACTCTCCCGTGAGCATGCAGAGTCCATAAAACCTGTTTGAACTTCAAAATCTTTGTACAAATGAAAGTGGGACTCAATTACCTCCATAGTGGTATCTTTCCAGTCCTCTGTTCCTAAAATACCACGCATATATGCTCTTCTAAGGACACGTACCTGCCTGTCCATGGAATCCAGTTCTGTACAGATTGAGGTCCGCAGACAGATCTAGAACGTGTTCCCAGTTTGAGTGACCTTGACAATTCATCTTTGAGTGATTCTGGAATGTGATTTTTATGCACCTGCATGTTTCTTCTTCAAATCTGAGGCATGTCTATATTTCAAAATCCCTATGGGTCTCAGCCCTCAGGAGGCATGTAGTCCAGGGTGCCAGGGAGGTCTGGATTTCTTTGCAGAAGCCTTTCATTTTGTGCATAATTTGCACAACTCCGTGTGATTTCCAAATCCTAATCTTGCGGCCCTTGTTCCTTCTGCGTCATGTTCTCTTCTTTCCAAGAATGTCTCCTGGGAAGTCTCTGAGCATCACGTTGGGAATATCAAAATTTTCAGGAGCCATTCCCCTCTTCTTTGGCCCCGGGCAAGTTAACCTGCGATATTAAACAACACCTACCCCACCCCTGCTCCCCACAGTGATATTATCAGTGTTGACAATCGCGTGATACTGGTTGCTGCTCCAGCGATGACCTGGTTTCAAAACCTGCATCTTAGTTCTAGGCAGTTCAATTGAGTCTAAGCATCCCATCTATGAAAGCTTGATTCAGTGCACATGGTGCCATTAAAGACGGGGAAGCAATCAGCGCAGAAGCAGACATGGTGAATGAAACAGAGACGTGCATGGTGGACTCAAGTCAGAAGACCTGAGTTCATTCTCACCTGCTACTCAGTTGCTGTGCGTCCTCCTGCAAGACGCTTCAGCTCTTTGAATGTCAGTTTTCTCACCTGTCAAATGGGCCAGAAATCACAGTGAGGATTAAATGAACTCTGGAACCTTCGTTGAATGTGCATTGGTTGAATTTTCTCCTTGGGGAATAGGGGCTTGTGGGGATCACCTTATTAGAGCATTAGATCACTTACGGTCTGGATGTGCCATAATCCGTATTTTATTAATTCAACCGATATTAATTATGTGTCTGCTATGGTCCAAGGCTCTGCTTTCTGTGTTGAGAATGAAACAGGTATCAAAGCCCTCCTGGAATATATACTCTTATAGAGGTAACAGACACGTAAATAAATAATTCTGTGTCTGGAGCTGACACACCTTCTAAAGATCCATGAAGCAGGTGAGAGGATAGAAAGTGATGTGCCTGTGTCAGCCAGGATGGTGAGGGAGGATGCTTCACATGGAGTCACAATGGAGTAGAGATACTATGAGTTTTCATCCTTTACCTCAGGCAGCTATACAGCACTAGACAGTCCCCTAAATGATGCGAGAACAAAGGGGGAAAGAGAGTTTGAAGTCACCTTTGGGCCCTGAGAGCCAGCAGAGAGTGTGCGTGGCAGACAGGACCAGGAAGGTAGGTGATGGCTCACAGGACAGCGTTTATCCAGTCGGGAAACAGAGATGGTATCCGAATAGAAGGCAGCAGAGTGAGGAGCCCTGGGAGCAAAGACTCTACTCCTGTCCTCAATATAGGATGCTGCCTTTACTTTGAAGAGTGAATTGCCTCCCTTGCACACCACCTTTCCACCTTCCTACCGCCTGGACTCTTGAGAACTTCAGGCAAGGCAGCACTTTGTCAGACAGTTTCTCTGTCCCCGGGACCACATAGAACTACCTCCCTCAGGTGATTATTTATAGTGAATCGCGTTTTGTTGGCGAATTCCTATGACAATCTTCTGCTCCTGCTGCCATTCACATTCAAGTTTACGGGTTTGCAACTTGAGAACTTTAGGGATGATGGAGCTCCATATGCTCATTCTATGGGTGGAGAAACTGAGGCCCAGAGTTATTTAATGACCTACCTAAGATGGCACAACTAACTCCTGACAGAGTCAAGAGGAGGATTCAGGAATCCTAACCCTCCGGCTAGTGTTCTTCCCACCACCCCGTGAAGATTTCACTTGCTTTTGTTAAATATCATGAATTATAGAATCCTGGAGATAATGTGTATGAGAGATAGAGGCAGACAGGGAAGTACAGAGAGAGAAGCTTTTAAAAGAAAAGCTACGAAGAATCTGGCACTGGGAACCAAAACATTTCTGTTATTTAATGAAAAATGTGTTATTACCATCCTGAATTATGTCCGTGTTTTTTAAAAAAATTCCAAATTTTCAGATAGCACTTTTAAAATATTTTTTAAGATTATTTATTTATTGATTCATTAGAGACCCCAGGATCACAGATCACGACCCGAGCCAAGGCAGACGCTCGACCACTGAACCACCCAGGCATCCCTCAGATAGGATTTTTACATAGCTTTTTTTCCAAAATAAATCTTTCTTTTCCTATACACAAACAAGGTCTCTGTTACCAGGAGACAACAAAAAATACATAGTTTTACTTCAATAGCCAATAGGCCCGTCTACAGACTGGGGGCAGGTGGACTGAATTCCTATTTCAATTCCTTTAATAATTGAATATTTGACTCTTTCAGCAAAATATCTACAAGATGCATTACAATATAACTTGCAGACACATCTTTCAGGCTGTGTGATAACTAGGTCTTAAATAACAACTACCTTAAGTGAGATTTCAGATTTCAAAGTCTATTTCTATTTGGGGTCAACTAGTTAGCTTGGCATCAGGTTTTAAAAAGTGATTGATTTAAACCAAGTCTGCTTTCTAGAAATGTAACAT